GCTAACAGAACCATGCTGCTAACAGGACCAGGCTGCTAACAGAACCACATTGCAAACAGCACCACACCGCAAATAGTAAAATGCTGCTAATAGGACCACACTGCTAACAGGACCAGGCTGCTAATAGGACCAGGCTAACAGGACTATGCTGCTAACAGGACCACGTTGCTAACAGGACCAGGCTGCTAACAGGACCAGGCTGCTAACAGGACCACATTGCTAACAGCACCATGCTGCTAACAGCAGCATGTTTTTTTTAAGCATGGTCCTAACAGCATGACACTGCTAAAGGTACCACAATGCAAACAAGACCATGCTGCTAACAGGACCACACTGTTAACACCATGCTGTACAATGATCAAGATTCTCAGTCATCCAGGACATGGTAAATCCAAAAAACCTTAACCGTTTTTTTTTTTTTGGAAACACCATGATGCTAACAGGACCACACTGCTGACCATGCTGCTAACAGTAAGGGTTTTTATAACACTACATTTTATTTTAATTGCTTTATATTGTTGTTTATTGTTGTCATTACTTTATATGTTGTCTGTCTAAACAGGTCTCTCTTGAAAATGAGTCCTCGTGACTCAAAGAGACCATAAAGCTTAAATAAAAAATTAAATTAAAAACCTTGAAATCACAGGTGTTCAGCGATTTGCAGTCAGCAAAATAAATAAATAAATTACTACATAGTAAAAATGAACAACACTTTCTTCTTGGATGTTGAGTTTACATATGTGGAGTTGAATGTGTGCAAATAGTAAGATAATAAAATTAATAATTAAATCTACATGAGTCTGTGCAAAATTCCAGCCATTTTTTATATTTTGTTGCAGTGAGAAAAGTTTGTATAAACCTTGTACCTGAACATTTTCTTTTAACCTCGTAAACTAAAATTATATCGTTTGGGGAAAATAGGAATTAAGTCAAGGGATGAAGCTGCGTTGTGTTGACATAAAGACAACTTGGCAACAAACCAGCTTTGGTTCTTGAGGCCTTCTACTTGGTCCCATTTTGGTTGTTAATGAACAAAATATTTAACCGTGCCACAGAGAATACGATTTTAGCACCAACAAGGTGATTTCCAGAGAGCTGATAGCTGAAAATGTACACGTGTTTTTAAAGGAACATGTGGCACAATATGCCGTCATGTTCACAGACGAGGACTGGAAGTGGGTTAAAAAAGCAAAGTCCAAAGAGAAACTTAGACCTTCAGAATGTCTAAACATGGCCATGTGTCAAGACCATTTAAAAGATTGAAATAAAAAGCCTGACTGTAAGAAGATGAATTTGGGATTAATCAAGACTTTGCACAATTCTGGATACAACAATGTAAAGTACTACGATATAAAATAATTATTTAAGTAAAACAAACTTTGATCATACAGTAAAGATGGCGTTCAAATTCAAAACAATGAAACTATTTTGATTTCCAAAAGTCTCTCATTGGTCAGTTTTCCAACAAGCGCCGCCCTTCACATTTGTTTCTCTCGCGATGATTGGTCTTCTCCCCTGTCAGTCCAGCGGGAGCGGCCCCTCCCCCTCCTCGCGCAGCGCGTTGGGAAGGGGACCGCGGACAGCTCCCGCCTGAGCAGCAGAGCCACAGCGGAGGAGGAGAGGCTGGACATGGGGGAGCCGGCGAGCAGGCCCGTCTGATCCACAGAAATTCGTTTTTTTGTCTTCATGTGCTCACACCGGGGGGGACACACACAGACGCCGAGCTGGAGAGGCCATAGGAGGACGGGGAGACAAGCGAGGGGGTGAGGAGGACCGGGGAACACGGCTACTGACCCATCCCGGAGCAGCAGCGCGCGCTGGGGGACAAGAGGAGACACGATTCCGCTCGAGCTGATGGACTGAGGACAGATGAATGAAGACTGCCTACACTAACGCCTATCGATGCCTGGCCAAGGACCTGGACGCTTACGCCATGAACACGGACATGACAATGGACGGCATCGGCACCCTGCACGGGGGGGTGTCGGTGAGCTCCGTGGCCCCTGACGCGGAGCTGCTGAGCGGCCACAGCCCGCACCACGGCCGCGGCAGCTCGGCGGCGTCCACGCTGCGGATCCACCAGGACCTGGCCGCCGCCGCCGCGTCCTCCCGCTCGGCCATGGTGTCCGGCATGGCGTCGATCCTGGACGGCAGCGGGGAGTACCGGCCGGAGCTGTCCCTGCCGCTGCACCACGCCATGAGCGTGCCGTGCGACTCGTCCTCTCCCGGGATGGGGATGAGCGGCACCTACACCACCCTGACCCCCCTGCAGCCGCTGCCCCCCATCTCCACCGTGTCCGACAAGTTCCACCACCACCACCACCACCACCACCAGCGGCTGTCCGGGAACGTGAGCGGGAGCTTCACCCTGATGCGGGACGAGCGCGGGCTGCCGGGCATGAACAACATCTACAGCCCCTACAAGGACCACATGTCCGGGATGGGTCAGAGCCTGTCCCCGGTGCTGGGCAACGGCCTGGGCTCCCTCCACAACACCCAGCAGGGTCTCCACAACTACGGCGCCGCGACGCACGGGGGCCACGACAAGATGCTCAACTTCGACCCCGCCACCGCCTCCATGCTGGCCCGGGGGGACCACCACCAGCACCGGGGCCTCGGCGGCCCCGCGGTCGGGATGATGCCGCACCTGAACGGCATGCACCACCCGGGGCACCCGGTCGCGTCCTCGGCGGGCCACCACCCTCACCCCCACCTTCAGTCTCCGTCCCACGGACCCGTGCTGGCCTCCACCCGGGACAGACCGCCCTCCTCCTCGGGGACGCCGGGGGGGCCCGGCTCGGGGCAGCTGGAGGAGATCAACACCAAGGAGGTGGCGCAGAGGATCACCGCCGAGCTCAAGAGGTACAGCATCCCGCAGGCCATCTTTGCCCAGCGGGTGCTGTGCCGCTCCCAGGGGACCCTGTCGGACCTCCTGAGGAACCCCAAACCCTGGAGTAAACTAAAGTCCGGCCGGGAGACCTTCAGGAGGATGTGGAAGTGGCTGCAGGAGCCCGAGTTCCAGAGGATGTCCGCGCTCAGACTGGCAGGTAGGAAAGGCTGCTGCTTCCGGTCCAGGAGAGAAAAACTGCGTTAAAAACAGAGTTCACTGTGAAGAGACTGGTCCTCCTTAGTCTGGGTCTCTGCTGGGGTCTGTAGTCCACATAAAACATCTGGATAACCTGTTCATCACGTGATTTATTGGAGTTGTGGAGGCAGCAAAAAGAACAAGCTCAATATTCAAACTTTATTCACAACCGGACACAATTAAACTTTAACTGCAACAATATTCAGCCTTTATTATGATACACCTTTATTATGATACACCTGTATTATGATACACCTGTATTATGATACACCT